GTTTAAGCTGTTACTTAAAATCAAAACAAAACTGACCAGTTGCCATCATAAATTTTAGGTCTCTAGAAAACTGAGGCTTCCCGGAAATGGGTAGATGGATCTAAATGGAATGAGCTGACCAGTGAGAACTACAGCCTTGATTAGGTAGAGGAATTAGTTAATATAACAACACTTGTTTATTTGTTTCCTTTTTTGCAGCTGATTTATCTCTGAGCTGTTTTTGTAAGAGGTGGGCCCCTTTGAGATCTTAATTTGCTCACATGTGAGTTCAGGATTCTGTGCTAGCCTTACTAGACCTGATAGCTGTTCCTCCTACACCCCAAAGAGTTAGGACATCCTTCCTGCTGCACCTATAAGGTTGCTGCTGCCCTGATGACCTGGAAGCAACTTTGCTGCCACCCCAGCACTGGCTGTAGCTAGAACAATACCCCTCTGAGCAGCTTAGTCTTTAGGCATGACCACTGTCATTCAGCCCTGATAGGTTTCCTGGGTCACATTCAAAGTCCGCTGTGCTCCCAATGGTAGGACCTTATAGTGGGTCAGTTTTCTGACCTACCTGGTTAGACTCCAGCCAGAAGTCTTTCTCGGCCTTGACTTCCTCAATTTTGCAACCTGAACAATCAAGAGTAAGAAAACAGAAAAAAGCAGAATTCATAGATGGTTACTGCCAAAGAATCTTGGAATTATCTGTAAGTTGACACCCCTGGGTAGTAAGCAAACTATCTGAGATACCCAAGATAGGATTTTTGAAAAAGGTTCTTGTAACTTCTGTTCTGTTTTTCTTTATTATTTGTTTTGAATTCAGACTGGCTATCTCAGAAAAGACTTTTGAAATCCAAATCCACTGATGGTATAGAAGGTGGAATGACCACATTTCTCTACTAGTTGACCTGTAGGTGGGAAAGGCATTATTACTACTGAGAGACAGTCCTCCATGGGTTTCTCATATATTTTCCATTTTGCGAAGGAGGCACCAACTACCCTTTTGTCCTGGACCATATTTTCAAGGAAATTGTATAGCAAATGACCTTGGAAGATAGATTATGACTCTCTCCAGGGAAAAGGGCAGATTTGCTTCCCATTTGATACAATAAAGACAATGAACCCCTTCAAGTTTGAAAAAAAGGCTTGCTTATAGCAATTCAAGTTCAGACCAGTTAGTGGTATTGTGGTTAAGGCAGATGAATCCCACAAGCCAATGTTGTGGTTAGAGTCCTGGATCTGACACCTTGAGACACTCCAGATGCACGTGTGTGTGTGTGTATGCCCAAAATCTTGAAAGGAGGGAGAGTTAGAGAAGGGATTGGGGTGTGGTCATCCTCCATGGGGAGTTCTTTCTCACTTTCTCTCTCTCATTCTCTCTCCATCTCTTAATGTGTCTCTCCCTGATAAGTGTACACACTCTGGCAAAATTAAATAAAATAATAAAAAGAGACAGATCCAAGTCTCTGAGCTTGGGGTTCTCAGCTGTGATGCAGTCACTGCACACTCAGTATCCAGTGTAGCCCATCCACTTCACCCTCGTGGGATTTGGGGTGCCTGGAAACTGACATAATATGATGCTTAGGCTTCTTTCTGCCTGTGCTCTAGGTCATGAAGTCCTTTGTCTCTGACCCAGAAGTCTCTTGCCTTCTCCCAGCTTCCATGATGCCATAGGAGACTGACTTGTCAGCATTCAAGTTGGGTGAAATTTCAGTCCTTCATAGTTCTTCTGTAGAATTTTTACATAAAAAAATGGTGAGAAAGCACTAAAGTTTACTAATAAAGCATATATACTTAGAGAGTCAGTAATTCACATATTAGTTTTATTATACCATGTGAATTCTTGAATTTTCCAAATGTTTATGACTTCTTATACCATTATCTGTAACACTCACCCTCGATAGAAAGGATTTTGGCTTTTATCTGGCTGAATTTTATCTGGTGTTAGAACAATTTGTGACTTGTTAGCTGAACATCTACCAGATCTTTCTGCAAGCTAAGAAAAAACATAAATATTTTCTATCTGTTTATCTGTATATGAAATACCTTCTCAATAGTCCAGCAAACTCAGCTGTTTTGGAGGAATTACTTTATGTTATGAATGAGAGGCCTGGATTTTTTTTTCCCTTTTATGTCTGCAGAAAGCAGTAATAACTAGCTCAGTGTATTTCATAAGGGCCAGTCATGCCCTCCAAACTTTTTGCTTTAGCAGTCAGGAATTGTTTTAAATCTTATTCTCAATACCCTTGAACTGATCTCTAGTGGGTTTGTAGCATTTTAGAAGATTGAGTAAAAAGGATGGCATTTCATGTTCAACTAGCCAGCATGATTTCCATGCTGCTGCTAGGCAGGGCCTGGCTCCTGAGCAGGACTCAGTAGGCATGCCTGGATCTCGGCCTGTCACACACGCCAGGCACTGGTCTGTTCCAGCAGCACACTCATCCGGAGTGAAGGCTGCAGGGAGCAGGGCGGGCACCTGTGCCTCTGTGCAAGGTAGGTAGGTTCCCTCTACGCATCTGGACTGTAAGAGACTTGGAGTGAAGGATGTACTGGTTTCCAGACGCCTGGCTTCAGGATACTTCTCTGTAAATGGCGCACTCTAGGTTTCTGGAAAGTAACAGGTCCAACGGAGATGTGGCATTACTTACAGATCAAGTGTGTAGGTCTACCACAGCTGCAGTCTTCTGAGAAAGCGGTTTACTCACTTTGCCACTGACGTCGGTGTAACTCTGGTTTGTGAAGAACGGCCCAGAGCAACAGTAACAGTGTCACCTGGCACCTTGTTAGAACTACACATTCTTGGGACAAGCAGATGATATAATGGTTATGTTACTGAACACTCACATAGTCGATCGCAGTTCGAGTCCTGGACCCAGCACATTGAAACTCATGCCGGGTGCATGTGCATGCATACCAAAAAAAAAAACAAAAAACAAAAAACCCAAGAGGAGAATGGAGAAGGGACTGAAGAGTGGTCATTCCCCCTGGGGATGATAGCTCGCTTTCTGTCTCTCTGTTGTCTCTCTCTGTCTCTCCAGCAAGCACACATGCCCTATTGCAAAAAATTTCTCTTAAAAAAAAATTAAAAGAAATTCAAACCCTTGATGACATCTCAGAATTTAGAAAATATGATCTGGCCTTGTAGTGTGGCGGTTAAGCCCTGTGCATAGGGAGCTGCATCCCATATGACTGACCACACTTTGAACCCCAGCCTCTGTGGCTTGAAAAACAAGGATGGGCTTGTGTGGGTACACATCCCTAAATCCTGATGTGAAGAGAAATGGAGGTGCATCCCCCCCAACATCCCTAGTGAGCACATATGCACCCTGGCAATAAAAAAAAAAAGAAGGATTTAGAAAATCTGCGAATGGGCCCAATAATCTCCCCTTTAACAAGCCTATACCCTCCCTGCCCCCAAGTGATTCTGATGCGCACCGGAGTGTGAGGTGCTGGCGTACTGCGCATAGTTCTACATGTCAGAGAAGAATGAGGTTAGTCAGGTTACAAGAAGGAAAAGAACAAATTAAATGGTGCTGTCAGATGTATAAGGGGACACCATAGCATTTATTAAATACATCTATTAAATTTTCATTTAAGAAAATAAATCTAGTGACTGTCCTAAGCCTGGCTGTTAGGGTACAAATATGAAGAATGCATTCCACAAATAACTCAGGGTGGACAAACTGGCCTGTAAGCTAAACCCAATTTGCCATGCATTTTTTAAAATAGAGTTTTATTAAGACTCAGCTGTGCCCACTCGCTCTCACATTGTCTGTGGCTACACACAGGCTCCAATGAGGAGTAGGGAAATGCTACAAAGACTGTACAATGCACAGAGCCACCCACATTCCAGATTAAATATACAGTAATACCTGGTGCTCTGTCTAAAAGTTGGTTGGCACCAGAACTGATGTTTAAGAGAAAATACTTTCTACATTCCAGGTAGCTATACATAACTGGAGTTAGACATAAGTGTAATACTCAGGGGCTCTTCTACCAGCCAGTAGTATATTCATATAGATTTTTGCAGTAGCAGAAAATTTACTTAGCCTCGTAGGTGTATCATGGAGGGTTCAGAGGCCGTTTGACAAGAAACCGAGCAATTCCTGCCCCACCACCTTGATGTAAGGGTGGGGGGAAAAGGATATAAGAACAAATATAAAAATTAGAGAGGAAGAAATGAAGAAAAGTAAAGAGAAGTTTTAGTTGAGGAAGGAGAATATTATCAATCGAAAGAATGTGACCTGTGTGACAAGCTAAAACAAAGAAGTTTCTTGCAGGACTTGGCTGGGAAAGGAACTAAGAAGAAAATCGAGATACCTCCCACTGTCTGGGGCAGGAATAGGGCCTCCCAGGGAATTCTGGGAGGTTGGAGCGAGGCAGGAAAGGAGCAGCTCTGGAATAGGATGGAGAGCCTAGGAAGGACAGTGCTCTGCTGCTGTCCTCTACACCCACTACGTGTCCACACACCCTGCGGCTTACTCATAGCAGGGTCCTCCAGGTCCTTTATATAGCACTGTCACTGCTGGATGACCAACAGAACAGCGATGTAGTGCTCCAAGCCTCCATGTCCCCTTGGGGTGCTTAGGTTACTTCTTGGCTTCATCCCTTATCGTTTGAGTCTGAGCAAACCAGTTTATGACTCCCGGTCTCCTTTACTTCATTTGTGAGATGCTACTCTAGGTTTCCTCCTGCATCTGCATTCTGCTGTTCTTCTGGACTCACTTATCTAGGGCTATTGCTAAGTGAGGGGCACAGAGGGTTTCCCCAGCCCCCTGGTTAGAACAGTAGAAGAATGAGAAGTACCGTCATGGGGACCCTTCTATCAGGGAATTGTTGACCAGTTTGGCACAAGGACGTTCTTTCCCTCAAGGAGATTTGATGCTGATTTATTTCTAACTCATATTAATGACTGATTTTCTCTCTTGCCCAAGAGCTTATTTACTGTCTAAATGTTTAGAGAGGGAAAAATGGCCAGTCGGGATCCATGCATATCATCATATTTCTCACTGTTTCAGGAATTTTTCTTTAAATGTGGAGCACACCCAACCTCTGACAAGGAAACCTCAGTAGCTTTGAACCTCATCACAACAAATAATCGAGACATCGCCTGCATAACGTGCACAGACATCAGGTAAGGACCCCCTTGCCTGGTGCCAACCTCCCGCACGGCCCCTCCTCAGGCCTGTTTTACCTGGAGCTTCTGTTTTGATAACGTCCACCCAATTTGGCATATTGTAATGTGATAAAGCTGTTCAAAATGCTAACTACTTAGTTTAGTCAAATTTGGTTCTAAAATATGTAATATGGCATACCTAAAAATAGTGTAATTTTAGAATTAAAAGATAAACTCATGTGTTCGAGTGTAAAATGTAAACTCATCCATATCAGTAAGTTAAATTCCTCATTCTGTAACATTCAAATGAACAGAGGAAAAGAAACGGGCTTTATTACAAGTTCTGTAAGGGTGGCTGAGAAGCACAAGTTGCAGTAGTAAGGACTTAGATCTGGTATCAAAAAGAGCTTGTGATAAAATTTCAAAATGGCTTAATGAAAATAAAGTCAAAGATAAAGTCAAAGTGTTTTTTGTTCCAGATTAAAAAAAAAAGAAAGAAAGAAAGAAAAAAAAAACAGCTCCGTACTCTAATCATTTTAAGTATTGTCTCTCTTTGACACCTGGAACTGTGCTAGATGACCTTTTAAAGTCACTTTAAACTCTATTATTTACTGATTACTGAGTATGAATACACCTACCATGGTATTTCTATTCTTTAATAAATTTAAATTAAAATGTTGACTAATAGAAACCTGAAAACCTTAACAACATCTGTTGAACAAACCTGTTTCCAAGAAGGGATAAAAATGAGATCTATTTTTCCTTTCGCTACATGTTTAGTCACCATTATGGCAGGGGGGAACACACAACCCACACAAATAGCCACCAAAACGTGGCACTTAAGTTTCCCTTGGTGAGGTGAATGACTGCCCCTGGCGAATGCTTTCAACACACAGGAATAGCTGGGGTGATGCTGTTGGCATTTTCTTTCAGGAAAGGAATCAAATGTACAAAAGTGAGAAATTAAGTGCTTTAATAGCAAGAGGTAATTAAAATCACATTTTGGTCCAACCCCATAGCTTAGTGGTTAAGGGAACCAGATCCCACATGGCTGACTGGAATTTGAATTCTGGTCTCGGCAGCTTAACAAACATGCATGCACATGCCCCAGATCTCCACAGGGTGGCGAAGTGAAGGAGCTGAGATGGCAGCATGACTATACTCCACTGGGGGTCGCTTTGTCCCTGTCTCACTCTCTGGGGCTCTATGTTTCTCTAAAAAAAGATCAATTTCAGTATTTCAAAGGAAAATTTTTAAACATTTTTATGTAAGTAAAACTGCAGCCCACGAGCAACCATTTAAAACCTTCTATTAAAGTTGATAAAGATGATATTAACATACATAGTGATGGTAGTGTTATCTCATTATGAGCATTGCCCTCCCTTTTTCCTGCTGTTAGTCTGTCACTTTTATATTAATAATTAGCAACATCTTTAGAAAGAAATGAGCTGCTTCCCAGATACACAGGTAGATAATTGCTAGAAAAATAATATTGTCACAATAAAATTTTTCATGTTATTTCTTTCTGGGGATTTTATAAATAGAAGTTACTAAATTCAGTTAAATTTAAATGCATGCAGATATAACCACCACTTGATTGAATAGGTCCTTTCTTGTATAAGGAAGCAGAGGACTACTCTATATAGAAGAAAGAGAAGAGAACTCTTTCTTCTATGGTCGATGAATTCATGTGAAAGGATGTCACTGTTGCCTGCATGAGGACACTGCAGTTCTGCACATTGTGTTTTAGTGATTGTTGTTGTTGTTGTTTTGTTCTGTTTTGTTTCTGATAATATACACTTTTTTAAATGTGGAAGTAATTGGGACCAGCAGTTAGTGTAACAGCTATGTCACTGGACTCCCATGTAGTCGACCGCGGTTTGAGTCCTGGACGCAGTGGCTTAAACTCACGCTGGGCGCTTGTGCATGCGTGCCCAAGATCCCGGGAGGAGAATGGAGGAGAAGAGATTGTGGCATGGCCATTCCCCCGGGTGATGATTTCTCACTTTCTGTTTCTCTGTCTCTCTCTGTCTGTCTGGTGAGTGCAAGCGCCCTATAGAAAAAAAGGGAAAGACCCATAAAAAAAAAAAAAAAAAAAAAAAAAAAAAAAAAAGCTCTAAATTTAGAAGTAATTCACTCACAGTAAACTACAAAAAAAAAAAAGTTAGAAATCATTATTATTTTTTTGTAAGGCTTTTGCTGTAAGGCATGTGCACTTGCCAGAAAGAGACAGTGATGGGGAGAGTGAGAAATCATCCCCCAGGTGGAATTGCCCTGCTCTGATCCTTTCTCCTTCATTCTCCTGCAGGGATTTTGGTCACTCTTGCATCTGGCATGATTTTCAAGATGCCAGGTCTGGGACTTGAACTTTGGCTGGCCATGTGGGAGTCCAGCACCTTAACCACTACACCACCTACTACTGGCCCTAGAAATTATTTTTACTCTAGTACTTAGTAAGATTTTGGATTGATTCTTTTCTGTATTTGATTATGGCTGAATATCGCATGTGTACTTGTGTGTGTAGGATGTAATATTGTATGTATAGTTTTTTAATTTGGCTCTTTCCATTTAACATAACATTGTGATAAGGTGTTTTTTTTTTTTGCCATAAAATATTTCATGAAAACAATCTGTTTAAATAGGTACTTAAGATCCCATCATATGGGAATTCTTTTAACTGTTTCCCCATTGCTTATCATTTATGTATCTCTAGTGTTTTAAAAAAATAAGACTGAGATTTTTATTCTTTTACAGAATCATTGTCTGAATCATTTGATTCTAAGAACTCAGTCATAGACGTAGGTACGGGAGTGTCCATGGACACTGTTAAGGTTCCTAATGCATGTTGCCAAAATTTCCTTCAGAAACAAAGCAGTCTTTCAGATTGTGTTAGCTTATGTTGAGAGGCCTCCTGGCACTATCTGTTCCAGAGCAGAACATATTAATATTTTTAGTCTTTGTCCATTTGATAAGGAAATTATTTTATGGTTAATATTTGATATTTTAAAATTGTTATTAGTAAATTCAAGTCATTCTCATTGGTTTATGTGGATTTTTTGGTAACAGAACAATGTAAATCTTTCTCAACATAAAAACTTTAGGAAGAAGCTACAAAACAGCGTAGATCTCGGCAGTTTATTTTCTCATTTACTAGTCATGTCAGTGTGTATTCTTTATTAATATAAGGTTTACTGGCATTTGAATTTATGTTCAAATGTATTTCTTTGGTCCTTATTTCAAAGTATTATATCTTCCTGGAGGTAAATTAAAAGTCATAATTAATTCCAGATTTGAAAGTAAAAGTGTTTTGGCATCAATTTATATTTCATGATTGTTATATTTATTTTTGTATGTAAATTAATCATATGCCATTAATCAAGTTAGACATAATTAACTACATAGTCAATTAAAATCTGAAAAAATAATTATTTTTTATTTTTTTATGTGAACTCCTTATCATAATAATGCAAGGTAAGAATTTTTATTTATTTTTGTGCTTTAGAAACATATACTTTTATATAGTAAGGAATTGATATACTTTTCATCTCCTTTTAAAATAATAATTCAAAAGTCCATAGGGCCATCAAGCTAACTTTCTGAGTGTAGGAGAATAAATATCTTTGGCCTTCAGTTTCCTTATACAATCCAGAAATCTAAGTAGGTGATCTACTGCAAAAGGGAGGCTTCAATTTATCCACAGCTTATACATTGATCATACCAGTTGAGAAAACACTTATTTGTAGTCCTGTCTACTGATACATACTGAAATAAAAGATGAGGTTTTTAATGATGCTGCCAACCAACTCACACGGATATGGTTGTAAACAGAGGAAGATACGTAAGATAGATAGAAGTGCTGCTCGTTGCCACCTTGAGGCTTAAAACTTAATTAAGGGATGCAATTTGTGTTCTTTGAGATTACTTGCAAAATATTTTCCTCTTTTAAGAGAAAAAAAAATGAAATATTTGGGAAACAGAACATCTTGAGGTTTCATGTAAACCTGCGGCTTCCCTTCTGGCACTAAGCCGTTCCTCTTGCTCATCTACAGGATGACCTGATCTTCATCCATTCCAAGTTATCAGTTGCTAACCTGAGGTTTATGAATAATTGCGGAATGAGTCGAACACAAAGCAAGAATTTGAGCCTAGCACAAAGTGGACTACTTCAAGGTAGAACAGGTGTATTATTTATTATTTCCAAGGGGGACCATCCCTCTCAGAAAGATTCTAAGTTCTTGTCTAGAGACTTCCCTTAATTCAGCAGATGTGCTGGTGCCCAAGATCCAGGATTGGATAAGGCTGGAGGTCAACTGTAGCTTTGGGAACCTGTGGAGGGTTCTCTTTCTCACTCCCTCTTTCTTTGTCTCTCTTGTTCATAAAATAAATACATAAATCAGTTTTCTTTTAAAATGACATGGGCAAAGCCAAAGAGATACTTAGATCTTTTCCCTAGTCAGTGTGTATCTTGGGGCTCATCCTATGTCAGGGTCACCCAAGGGAAAAACATATTCTGCACCTTGATTCTCACTGTAAAATTTTTTTTTAATTTAATTTATTTTAAAATTTGAAAACATGCAAAATAGGAAAATCATAGGTACGTTATCATTTGATAAAAACAACCATCTCTACTCTTCTCCAGCTTTGCTTCTCTTAAAGTTACCTCACTCATTTCTACACTTATTTTCATATTTTTAACCATTCCTTGGTATACAAAACTGAAGACAAACTGAAAAATAACCATGTCTGCACACTCTAAATGTAACCATCCAGAGTTATGTTTTAAAACACAGTTCCTAGCAGGGCATTAACTCTAAGCAGCAGCACTATGTTGTAATTTCCCCCAACCCTTCCAAAAAGACATGCTTTCAATTGTTATTTGATATAAATGCTTTTATCATTTTCTTGTCTTCCAATTTGTCTTAAAATAAAATTCATTTTTCTTGTTGAAGTAATGCCACCATGAATTGCCAACTCAAAAGATTTACTTGGGCTGAAGATTAGCAGATTTATCTTAAAGT